GACGCGCAGGGGACCGAGGACGCAGGGGACCGAGGACGCAGGGGACAGAGGACGCGCAGGGGACAGAGGACGCGCAGGGGACCGAGGACGCGCAGGGGACCGAGGACGCGCAGGGGACCGAGGACGCAGGGGACAGAGGACGCGCAGGGGACAGAGGACGCGCAGGGGACCGAGGACGCAGGGGACAGAGGACGCGCAGGGGACCGAGGACACACGGAAGAGCTAGGACAAATAGGGGACCGAGGACATGCAGGGAACTAAGGACACGTGAGACTAGCAAGACCCCACAATGTCTGAACTGTCCTGCAGCTTCATGGGAAATAACTTCGCCAAACTGGAGCTTCTATTTCTAAATTATCAAAGCAAGGAAAGCTCAGAATAGTTTGTAAGAGTCTTCTAAATGTGTCACAAGAGTGGCCAACTTACTTCATCGTCTTCGTCTTCATCATCATCATCAGATTCAGGGTCACCATCCAACTGCTCTTCTAAAGGGAAAGAAAACTGTTCAGTGAATAATTGTGACACAGTAGGATCTTTTGTCAGCGAAACCCTTCAGCCCCTGCAGAGACATACAGGCCCACTTCGTACTACTGCACTTCCTTTTTTAAAATTATTATTAATTTTAGTGAAAATTTATGGAGACTTTGGATTTCCATTCATTTGTTGTTGCACTTTTCTTCCTGCCGACCCTTCCCCTCAGTTCGCTCTTCTCTTTGAAAAGTAAAATTCTTTCATTGTTACACAATCCCTCCCCTCAAGTCCACTCCACTGTGCAGCCTTCATTCTGGACTCCTGTCATGATAATAACACCTAATCACATATCCCTTGTAAACAGTTCTCTCTCTCATATGTTTGAATGCATGTACATAATTTATCCCATCTTTCTCAGTCTCCCCTGAACCCCGATGTCAGTCCTTTTTTTTCAACATTACTGCACTTTTACTGTGTTTCACAGACACAGTGGTTCTTACAAAGCAAAGGTTGGTGGCACCCCTGAATAGAGTAAGTCTACTGGTACGGTTCTGCCCAAACACTCTGTGTCTCTGACATGTTAGCTGTTCTCACAACATTTCCGCTATTCCCGTAGCATGGTTGCACAATCAACGTACTACAGCATAGCGGAAACACAGCTTTTCCAAGCACCGTAAACCAAACAGTCTTTGAATATTCGTCACCTCACTGCAGTGGTCTGGAACTGAATCAGCAGTAACTCGAAGCTGCTCTTGTATGAGAATTAAGTTACATCAAGATAACAGTTTTCTTGAAAGGTAGTGTGAAACACAAGGTATATGAACTTTGTATGTAAACCAATACAAAACAAAATATTTTTAAAATCAGATAGGCGAAAATAACTGTGTTCTTGGTATCATTTCCGTCAGGTGATAAGCCATTCTAAGTAATTTCAAATAATCCTGTTTCATCAGAATCAATGTGTATTGCTGTTATGCCACTGAGTTGCCTGTGACTCATAGTGACCCTAAACACAACAGCTCTGAATCCTGCTGTGTCCTGAGCCAGTTTCACTGACTCTGACACACTATTCTCATTGCCCTAGTTAGTAACTGTATCAATCCATCCCATTTGGGGTCTCCTTCTTCTGCACCATCCCTCTAACCCCCTTCCAAGCATGATATCCTTCTCCTAGGACTGGTCGGTCTCTCCTGGCCACTTTCCCAAAGTATGTGAGACAGAGCTTCAAAATCCTAGCCTCCAAAGAGAAACTTGGTTTCACCCTCTCCAAGAAAGACCTATTTGTTCTCCTGGATATCTATGGTATGTTCAATACTATTCTCCAGCACCACAACTCAAATGCATTGATTCTTCTGTCATCCTTAGTCACTGTCCAGCTCTCTGATGCATAGCAAGCAATTGTGAAGACCATGGCCTGGATCAGGTGCACCTTAGTCTCTAGACTGACATCGTTGCCTCTCAGTACTCTGGAGAGGTCCCTAACAGTAGATTTTCCCAGTAGGAGTCATCTTTTGATTTCTTGACTGCTGGTGCCAAGAGTGTAGGTTGTGGGGCTGAGAAAGGTGTAATTGTTAACAACCTTAATCTCTTCTCCATCTATCCTGGTGCTGCCAATCGGCCCAGGGGTGAGAATCTTTGTTTTCTTGATATTGAGCTTCAATCCATATTGAAGACTATAGTCTTTGACCTTCTGTAGCAAGCGCCTCAGGTCCTCTCCAGTTTTGGCAAGCAAGGTTCTATCATCTGTATAATGTAGGTCGTTGATGAGTCTTCCTTCAATTCTGATGCCACATTCCTCCTCATAAACCCCAGCCTCCCAAATGATCTGTTCTGCATACAGATTGAAAAGTTATGGAGACAGGATGAATCCCTGATGAACTCTTTTCCTGATTTTGAACCACGCAGTGTTCCCTTACTCTGTTCTGAAGACCGCTTCCAGGTCTGAGTATATGTTTTGCATGAGCACAATCAAGTGTCCTGGGATTCCCACTCTCTTCAAGATTAGCCACAATTTGTTGTGATCCACACATTCAATGTCTTTGCACAGTGAATGAAACAGACAGACAGTCTTTGTTACTCTGCTTTCTGCCAAGATCCATCTGAGATTGGCGATAATGTCTCTAGCACCACAACCTCATCTAAACCCAGCTTTTCTTTCTGATAATTCTCTGTCAATGTCTGTCCCAGTCATTTTTGGATAACTCTTAGCAAGATTTTGCTTGCATGTGGTATTAGTGATACTGTTCAATAATTTCCACACTCCGTCAGGTCACCTTTTGTGCTTTGGAAATAACTATGAATCTCTTCCAGCCAGTTGGCCAGGTAGTTGTCCTCTAGATTTTTAGTCATAACCTGGTGATCACATCCAGGGCAGCACCTGTTTGTTGAAATATGTTAGATGGTATTCCATCAATTCCTGGGGCCTTATTTTTTGCTATTTCCTTCAGAGCAGCCTGCACGTCCTCCTTCATCACCATTGGCTCTCGATCATATGTTGTTTCTTTAAATTCTTCTGTGTTGGCCAATTCTTTTTTCAACGGATATTAGCATACAGATAATTGAAGCCAATATATAATTTATAGTGAACTTAGGGAAAAGAAAACAAGCCCTGGTAACATGGTGGGTTAAAGCGTTGAGCTTCTTTCTGAAAGTTGGTGGTTCAAATCCACAGGGGAAAGATGTAAGATTTCCAGCCTTGGGAGCCCCAGGGGCAGTCCTACTCTGCACCACGGGATCACTATGATGCAGTGACTGAGGGCAAAGAAAGGAGCCCTGACAGCACAACAGTTAAGAACTCAACTGCTAACCAAAAGGTGGGTGGTTTGAACCTAGTAGAGCTCCGTGGGACAAAGGAGGGGCACTCTGCTTCTGCAAAGATGCTGGCCTTGAACACCCCGTGAGCCAGTTCTACAGGCCCACACGGTCGCCATGAAGTGGAATTCAACTCTCGACAGAAATGGGGTTGCAGTTTTGTTTGGTTGTTTAGGGTAAAGAAAATAAACTGCCATGCACACTGGCCTTTGTGCTACAGGTGTTACTATTCTCAGTTCTTGCAAAGAGTCTCATCTTACAGATGGCAAATAGAGACACAGAGAACAGATGAGACTTGCTTACGGAATGCAGCCACTAAGTGACCGGGTTAGGATTCAAAACTGACCCTACTTGTGAGGCCCTGAGTTTTCATACAGGACCAGGGCGAAAGGTGAAGGTTCCTAAGGGCGCCCATTGCTGGCTGCAGACGTGAAAAGTTTCCCTCTCATGGCTGTCGAGTTGGAACCGCTCACAGCTGAGCCCCCAAGGAGGTGTTCAGAGGCTAGAAATCACAGGCGAGGAGACTCCCCATCTTTTTCTTTCAGAGCAGCTGGTGGCTTCAACTTTTGGGCTGGCAGTGCAACTTCTTACCCACTGGGCCACCGAGAGTTTGTTACTTTAAAACTTGACAAGGAATAAGGGAGCTCTGGTGGCCTAGCGGCAAGAAGCTGCACTACAATCCTGAAGGCATATGGTTCAAATCCACCAGATGCTCTGCTGGAGAAGGAGGGGCAATTTCTTTCTATACCAGTCAGATCCAATTTGACAGTACACACATACACAGATAATAAATGATAAAAATAATAATTAAAAATATTTTTTAAAACTTTACAAGGAATAAACAAATTAGGTAGTCAACAAAAGTGCTGCAAAAGGCCTTTTTTAGAACCCATTTAAAAGCAATGAAGCCACTGTGAGGATTAAGGTGTGTCTGAGCCACGTGATGGTATTGCCAACCCCTCACGCACATGTGACACAGACCATGTGCATGATCCAAAGAGGCCAACACAGTCAACTCCCACCTCGGGTCGTTTGTAAGGCATTCCACTGAACTTCCGACAACTTCCAATTTCCCTCAAGTCATACTTGATATATTCCATGATCTAATTAACAGGTTTTGCCACTGTTTCTCCTCTTTCACTTTATGGGTTTGGGTTTATTCTTCTGTTGGTTGTTTTCATGTGTTGCTGGAAAGATCGTCATTGGGTTCTACTCTCTGGGCCTGGGGTCGGTAAGAAGTCAGCAGTACAGAGGAGCACAGGCAGACACAGCACGCGGGGCGGGTGCAGGGCCCCGGTCACAGCTTCTGAACTCTTCCTGCTGTCCGCCTACACGTGCCCACAGATCGTTACATCTTTGGATAATCTGACCTTGGCTGTCTGGGGACTCTGTGTCTCCCCTGGGAATCTAGCCTTTCTAGGACTCTGCTCCTTTAGCTGCCAAGTAAGGCTTCTCCAGTGAATTCCACCATGTGGAAAGTTCTCTGCCCAGGTTGATACTGTGTGCCAACATGGCCATGATCCTCAGTATAATATAATATTCTGTGTGTTGTAAATTCTAATTCATTTAAGGGAAGATTACAAAAAGGTCTATAAAGATGTGATTAGCCTTATCTGATTAAGGTGTGGTTTCCACAGGGATGTGGGCTGCAGGCCATGCATGATAGGCCCCTGGCCTAGTCCTTAGGGAACGGCCCTGCTGACCCTAAGGTTGACCTCTCTAGCTCCAACCAGCGGCTCTGCAGGAGAGATGTGCAATCAGCTCCAGAGTGACTTACAGCCTCAGAAATGCAATGGAGGGCCAGCGGTGAGTTACCTCCAACATGACAGCCATGAGACTGACTCTTCTCTGAAATAAAGCTAGAGAACTGTTTGTCAGGTCTACAGCTGGTGTGCTCTCCACACACAAACCAGTAGCCTGCTGGACTCGCTAACAGTGGACTCGGTATCCCGAGCCAGCCAAGCCGTCTGTGACGTTTTCCAACAATGACCCTGGACCTGCCGGCCTCTGAAGCTGGCAGCCTCCAAGGGCTGGGACCCTGCCGCCCACATGCCTCTATTTAGAGCTTTGACCTGTGAACCTGGGACTTGTCTCTATAAGCACCTGAATCATTTTCAGAAACACAAATGCAGGTGAGTGAAAACCCAGTAAAGAGTTAAAAGACAGATCACAGAACTGACCAGAATTAAGCTGCTTAATGATGAATTCAATCTGGCGAATCACCTCAGCATTGCCTTCTCTGATAAAGCAGCGGAGAATGTCTTCCATTCCCTAGAAGATCAAAGAGAACAAAAATGAATACCTGTTTTCTGAAGGAGCAACTTTCATGGAATACTTTCATCAAATTCTAAAAAAAAACAACAACCCCAAACCAATCTTTCTTATTCGGAGGGAAGGACTACACACAGCAAACATTCCTCTGCTAACATTCTGCTCTGCTTTTCTGAAATAATGCCTGGTGAAATAATTTTCATTTTGGTCGACTATCCAAAATAAACACAACACAGCTGGGGGTGGGAGACACCAAACAACACGCTGTTAGAACCCTTCACTGCACGGGTACCCTGTTAGTTGTGACAATATGTTGTTTTGATAAACGGCTTCTTTCCTATGTTTTCCCCCTAAGTTTGTACAGTGCTTTCCAGTTTGTACAACCAGACAGGATCTTTAACAAAGAAATTCACATGTTTAGAGAAGTAAATGAAGAAATAAAAACCTTTTTTAAAAAAACAAACTGTGCTGCAATCCCCAAGGTGCACGGTTCGGATCCACCAGATGCTCTGTTGAAGAAGGAGGAACAATTTCCTCCTGTGCCAGATGGATCCAATTCAAAGGTACACAGGAGGGGGGGAAAACAAACCCACAAATCCCAAACAACAACAACAAAACAAACAAAAAAAATCCCCAACCCCCCGAAATCCAGCTATCATTCTTTTTCTACCAAGAGGATTCCATTCACTGTATTTATGTATAAGGAACCCGACCTGGTGGTGTGGTGATTCAGTTTACCCAGTGGCTCCATGACAGCAAAGATCTGGCAACGTGCTTCATAAAGATGAACCAAAATGTCAAACCCATTGCCCCGGAGCCCGTTCTGATCTCTAAGCCACCCTGGAGGACAGAACAGAGCTGCCCCACGGGGTTCCCAAGGCTGTCGTCTTTAGGAGAGCAGACCACTTCCCCATGGGATGGTGGGATTGAACGCCTGACCTTCCAGGTAGCAGTCAAGCACTTAACCATACGGTAACCTATCGGGCAGGTC